ACAGATAGTAGATGAATAGGCATACTTTGCAGAACATGCGAGATCAAAATATATCTTCCTCCGATTGAGAGTAGTTTACCTTTCCATGCCTGTAACTTGTCCATAACTTTGGTGAGTAAATTTTGGTAATGATCCATCTTTCTTTTTGTATAAAAAATAGGACACCCAAGGTAAGTAAAGGGAAAATCTTGCCTGTTAATCCCAGATATCCTCTCAACCTTATTTACCACCTCTACAGGAGTATTATGGTGCAAATATACAATAAATTTCGACTTGTTAATAAGCTGTCCAGATGCAACTTCATAATCAAATAGGACTTGCATTATTAATTGCAATGAAGTTGCATCCGAGGAGGAGAAAATAATAGTGTCATCGACATATGCAAGATGGTTAATCTTAGGACTTCATTTAGGCAATCCAAATCCACAGAAATGCAAGTTCAAATGTAATGCATTCAAACCTCTTGATAATGCCTCAGCTGCCAGAATAAAAAGAGTAGGGGATAGAGGGTCTCCTTGTTTCACTCCTCTTGTCGACTTGAAGAAACCATAGGGCTGCCCATTTATCATTACAAAATACCAATTGTTTGAGATGATACCAAACACCAGACCTATGAGTCTTTCTCCAAACCCCATCTTTCTCAAAACCTTAGTCAAAAAAAGCCAAGAAAGTCGATCGTAGGCTTTAGCCATGTCTAACTTTATCACCACATTTGGCCCTGCTTTAGTCCTTAGTCTAATATCTGTAATTATTTCTTGAGTTAGCAGCACATTCTCAACGATGCTTCTCCCTTTTAACAAATCATGTCTGCTCATCTGATATTAGATTAGGAAGCATTCCACCTAGCCTTTCATGAACAACCCTCGAGAAAACTTTATTTATAAAATTGCTAAGGCTAATGGGTCGCATATCAGAATAAGTCAAAATCTATTTCTTCTTAGGTAATAACACCAAATTTGTGTGAGTCACAAACTTTGGTAGATTATGCCCATTGAAGAAAGCTTTAACCATGTCATAGACATCATCTCCGACTATATCCCAGCATGCTTGAAAGAAACAACCAGTGAATCCGTCCGGTCCACCTGCACTGTCTCCATTGAGCACAAACACTGCCTCTTTCACTTCGTCTTTGTTAGGTTGCCTCAAAAGCATATCATTCTGCTCATTATTCACCATGTGTGGCACATGATCCAGTATGTCAAATGCATCAGGAACCTTATCTTCATGAAATTGATCAGTGAAATATTTTACAGCTTCCTCTGCCATAGCCACTGAATCTTCAATCCAATTGCCCTCGCTATTTTGGATTCTCTTCAATTCCAACCTTTTCCTTCTTCCCATGACTTGCGCATGAAAGAATTTTGTGTTCCTATCTCCATCTTTGAGCCATGACAATCCAGATTTTTGTTTCCAAAATTCCTCCTCTAGCGTTAAGTATTTTATGAACTCAGCTTGAACTTTCATAAGTCTTTCTCTATTCTGAAAAGAAGGATTCAACTCGAATTGTGCTTCATGAACTAAGACCACCTCTTCCAAACTAGCAATCTTTTCAAAAATGTTTCCAAATGTAGCCTTGCTCCAGATTGAAAGAGCTTTCTTCACCTTTTTGAGCTTGTGATTGAACAAAGTGAAAGGGTTTGCATGAAAGTCTGTTGTCCAGTTTTCTGCTATTGTATTTTTGAAAGTTGGATTTTTTGTCCAGAAATTCAAAAATTTGAAGGACCTCTTGATTGGACTATAGAGGCCTGAACACTCAACATCATCGGGCAGTGGTCAGAACCAATTTTGGAAAGATGGTTTACCTGCAGTCATCTTCACCTCGACCATTCCACCAAGTGTAAATACTTCCTTTAAATACAAGATCGAAAAGGTTACAAGTATTTACACAATGCCTAAAATCAAGAACCTCATTCATGTGGACGGGTCGGCCTCTAAATTTTTCTTCTTCATCCCAGATAACATTGAAATCTCCTTCCACTAGCCAAGGAAGATCCATATCTCTCGCAAGTGCATATAAGCTGTCCCACAATTCAATTCTTTCAGTAGAGTCACATTTTGCATATACAAATGTAACAATAAGTGACCTTCCAGAATCCATGTTTGTTATTTTTAGTGTTATCTGTTGGTCCATATTGATAATGATATCAACACCATGATCTTCATCAACAAATACCCATATTTTGTTTGAAACATTTGCGTAAACTTGTAGCATTCCAATCTTTTTTCTATACCATTTTAATTTCGTGGCTCTTTGCATTGGTTCCATGATACCTATGAATTGAAAATGATGTTGCCTCTACATAGTGACCAGCCTCTCAATTGTATTCACCGATCTCACATTCCAAAATAGAGCATTCATCATTGATTATGCGATTTGGATTGGGTCCTTCTTGTTTGAACCCCAGGTGGAACGACACTTTGATTTTCTTTAGATTGCTTCTTTTTACCTCTCCCAGCAGATTTCCCTTTCTCAATTGCTCTAGGTGAAAGATCACCTTGTCTTGCTACATTCTTAAAGTTTTGAGTCGTTGATTCTTCATCCATGTCTCTCCCTTTGGTTTCCACATTTTCATCATCACCATGGCCCTTAGGAGTAGTAATGATTTCATTTTTTCCCTGATTAGGAATCAACGATCTCCCTGCACTCTCCTTTCCTTGATCTCCTTTAGCTTTAGTTATAGTCAATGGAACAGTGACTCTTTCTGGAGAAAGTTGCCCTGCATCGTTGAGCTGTACCGTTGTAGTGACTTGTTTTTCTCCTTTATCACTGATTACTTCATCACCTATACCACTTAAGTCTCCTCTAGTGCCCCCCGGATCACCCGTCAATGAAATAACTGTATTACTCCTATCAAGAATGGAGGTACCTTCAGGGGGTTTAAGGCAAGCGTTCTGCATCTGACCAAATTGTTCAGTATCTTCACGCATTTTTTATGCTTTTGTTAATTGTGGGTTTTCATTGTGGTGTATCACAGCTTGTAAACCTTGTCCATTCACGCGTTGTTCCTCCTCTCCATCTTGATCATCTTCAGCTTTATTCAGATCTTCACTACAATCTTCATTTCCCAAGAATTCTCCTTCTTCTGAGTCCTCCTCAATTTGTTCTGTCCATACCTTAACTTCGCCAATGTGAAGTTTTCCAGGTTCTTTATTAAACATATTTGGCTCGAGTGATTCTTGAAATGGTACTTCTTGACAAGAAGTATTTGTAGCCATTGGATAGTAGCATAATCTGCACTTTTAAAGGTCAAGCAAATGGTTTTCATATTTTTAATAATTAATAATGGAAACGTTAACACCTTCCATAACGGTACACCAAACGGATATCACAAAACTCCGTTAAAATAGTATGAGCTAGCCAGTTTTCGGACTAGTCATTTAAAAATAGCCAGCATTTGCAAAGTCATTAAAAAATAACTACTATTTTGCTGCAACACGGAAAGTTCCAGCATAATATACTGGAGATCGGTGCACCTGTGTATGAACTTCCAGCATATTATGCTGGAACTCCAATACGCGAAAATTTCCAGTATAATATGTTGGACCGGTATATTACACTAGAACTCCAACATATTATACTGGAGTATTTTTCCAGAGTTTGAACAGTGTTTTCGTTCAAATTTATCTTTACATGAAAAGTGGCTAAATTTCGATTACTTTTGAAACTATGGCTATTTTTGGATGACCACTTGTAAATCTGGCGATTTTTTAATTTCTCCCCAAAACTCCATGAACTTTTAATTCTCTAATACTTTGAGCCCGTTTGGATTAGCTGATTGTAAATAGCTGATAAGCTTGAAGTGCTGAAACTGATTTTCTAAATTAGCATTTACGTGTTTGGATAAACCTGCTGAAACTGATAATAAACAATTGATATGTTTTGGTACAAAGGTGCTGATAAGTTGTTCTCTTGTTAAAAAGACTAAAATACCCTTAAAGTTTTTACAAAAGATTATGAATTAAAAAGTTTCTTTGTAGAGAAAACGATAAACAACGAATATGGAATGTAGAGAAAATTTAAAAAATNAATTTTAAAAACTATTTTGGGAAAAATATTATATAAATTAAAAAATGTTATTAAGGATAAACTAGTAAAAATTTGGGTCAAACTAAAAGTGCTTATAAGCTGAAAAGTCATAAGTTGGGGGTGACCAACTTATGGCTGATTTTAACTTATAAGCGCTTAGCTTATAAGCACTTTGGATGTGTACCGAATGCGTAGAAAAGCCAAAACGTTCTTATAAGCCAGTTTGACCAGCTTATAAGCTTAGCCAAATACCATCTAATTGCTGCTCAAAAGGGCTTTTCAAATTAATTAGCCAAACACAAACTGTTTCTCATCAAAAGTACTTTTGAAAAAATACTTTTGAGAAAAAACACTTGTCAAAATAAATTGATTTTTGCAGCTTGGCCAAACATGCTACAAGCCCTAACTAACTAACTAACTAACTGTACACATTACCAGCTAATTGAATACACTAAAAATACAAAAACACAAAGCACATAAATATACCTTGTATCTCAATAGTAATTGGCTAGAAATTTAAAGGGGTTGATGGTAAATGTAAAAAAAATATTACATCAAGATTGGTTTTTTTATGGATAAAATGTGTGTGATTATAATAATTGTAGTGAGTGATAAACACTGAATTATTTATTAAGCATGCATCTCCTGTTGAATATCTAGTTAATTTATTGTTTTAAAATTCAAGAGGTATGGTGTACAATTTAAACATATATTTGGGAAACTTGCGGGGAAAAGAAGGTTTCCATTATTAACCCTAGCAAATGCATCACTTCTTTGTCATCTTAAAGAACGAATGTTTATTTCATGTTTTGATTAAGGAAATGCAAGTCTCTATTTGGTTTTGATTGGGAAACTGATTTCAATAAGAGTTACCAAATAAGTAAAAGGAAAAATTAAAGTCATTATTTTGAACTATGAAAATTTATCTTTTTGTTAAGAGATAGTAACTGTCTTAACAGGATGCATTATGATTAACAGAATATAATGTTCAAAGATGTGACGAAATTTGAGATAGTTTGGTACCTCCATTTATGTAGTCGAGTTCCCCGGTCTCCCGAACATCCTTCTGTATGGTGTAAGCAGTAACCCTATACAAGTATTTGGCACAATGCATAGCAAATCTTTATACTCAATCACAAAAACCAAAAAAAAAACCAAAAAAAAATTACATCACCAGATTACCTAACGTCATCCCCACAATTACACTTATTATATTATATTCATTTATCTTACATGAGAAAATAACATATGCTTCTCATTATTTCTTTTAAATTAGTTGATAATAAGGCTTTTCTTGCGACAAAAAAGTAAATATATACCCTGTTGTTGGTGTAACGATGACATCTGCCTTGGAAAATATTCTTTTGTGAATCTGAAGCTGCCGATTTCTGGAGATAAAACAAAATATTAAAACATGAGCGTTTGATCTTATCAGAACTGGGCACTTAGTTTTAGCTATTTTTTGTTTAAAAAAAAAAAGGAGCAGCACGGACGTATGCAAAGAAAAATGAGACAGCACCTGATTTCTCTAAGGCTTGGATGATATCTCATGTTGGGAAAGTCATGTTGACATGTGCATAGATACAATGAAACAAAAATAACTATTTGTACACGTATAATTTCTATCACCGGCGAAGTTAAAATATTCAATAAGAATATTCAAAGTTTATTTTTTCTTTTTGTTAGTGAACTATGCAAGGGTGTTCAAAATTTATTTTTTATCAATAATCTTACACTATAAACTATAATTTTTCGGCGAAAGGTGTTCAATTGACCACCCTTGACAACACATAACTTCGCCCTATTATTTGATGATGAGGTACCCACGTTGTGAACGAAGACAAATAACTACGTAAATACGTTATTGTATACTCCTTCTATTTCAACTTAGATGAAACACTTTCTTTATTAATCCGTTCCATAAAGAATGACACATTTCTACAATTTGAAATAATTCAACTTTAAACTTTTTATTTTACTCATTTTACCCTTAATGAGAAGTTTTTATTGTTAGGTGTTTGTCATGATTTTCTTATCATATTTGGTTTTTCAATTCCTTGAAGGAAAGGACAACATAATTTTCATAATTAGGTTTTTTATTTCTTAGAAGAAAATTATAATTCTTCCATATTTGGCTAGTATTTTTTCTTGGTGGAGAAGGTTTGGACTTTTATAAATTGAGGATCCTTCTTTCTCATTCAGTAGTATCCATAATGTAGTCATAAAGTGTTTGAGAGTCTTATTTAGGGGGAGAACTTTTCGGGACAAGTGTTAGTGTGTCACTTGTGTTTGCCTCTTCGTGAGGTTGTTCTCTCGATATTTTGTACTCTCTTTTATATTATGGATTGCCCATCTTCGTCGTGGACGTAGGTCAATTGACCGAATCACGTTAAAAATTTGTGTCTCTATTGCTATATTTTCCTTCTATTATTTGATTCAAGATTTTGCTTTACTGGCTTCCGCTTGATACCTAATTATTTCGGTCCCAACAACCGGTATCAGAGTACAGGTTCAAGGGGACAAGTATGACGATGGCAAAGTGATGGTGCAAAACTCGGTTTAACGAAGCACACATAAAAAGAAGCTAGTTGCGGGCTTCGGTTGCCAGTATACTCTAACAATGTGGGTGGCACACAGTGAATCTCAGAAATTGACCCGTGGATCATGGCAATGGGCCACATGAAATTTATTTCGAGAGCTGCAAACAAAGTCCCATATTGGTAGCCAAAAAGACTGGGAGCCTATATATAAGGTGTAGGAATATTTTAATGGTGTGATGCCTTTTGGAAAAAACTATGCGAGTTTGGTCCAAAGCGAACAATATCACACCACGTTAAGAGTATTTTTGGGATGTTTTAGCCCAACAACTGGTATCAGAGCCACATGGGAGCATTGTTAGGTGGTTGTCCTGATTTTCGTACCATATTTGTTTTTTCTATTTCTTGAAGGACAACATATTTACCTTAACTGATTTTTTCTTTTACGAAAAGAAAAATATAATTTTTCCATATTTGGCTAGTTCTTATTCTTGGAGGAAAATATTTTTGACTTCTATAAATTAAGAATCTTTCCTGCTCATTCAGTAGCATCCACAATGTAGCTATATGTGGTTTCAGAGTCTTGTTTAGGGGGGAACTTTTCATGACAAGTATATAGTGCCACTTGTATTTTCCTTTTCGTGAGGTTGTTCTCTCGATACATTATACTCTATATTAAATAGTGGATTGCTCATTTTCTCTCGTGGATGTAGGTCAAATTGACCGAACCACTTTAAATGTTTGTGTCTCTTTTGGAATATTTCTCTTTTGTTGTGTGATGTATCATCGTTCAAGGTTTGCGTTACTAGATTCCGCATGACACCTGATTTTTTTCAGTCCTAACAAGTGGTATCAGAGCGAGGTTCAAGACAGGTTCTTCTTGGTGGGTTCAGTTCTAGTCACAAACTATTTGACGATAACCATGATTTTTTTCTGAGAAATTTGACTAGAATACTATTCACGTTGAGGCAAACTTTGCGGTGGAGATTTGAAGATGCGACATGTTAAAGATTATGTGAACAAGGTGGATCAAGTTTATTTTATAAGAAAATTCAGGCCAAGGGGGAGAATTATTAGGTGTTTGTCCTCATTTTCTTACCATATTTGATTTTCCTATTTCTTGAAGGAAAGGGCAACATAGTTTTCACAATTGGATTTTTCTTTTCTTAGAAGGAAATTAGAATTCTTCAATATTTGGCTAGTACTTTTTCTTGGAGGAAAAGATTTGGACTTCTATAAATTGAGGATCCTTTCTTCTCATTCAATAGTATCTACAATATAGCCATAAGAGGTTTGAGATTCTTTTTAGGGGAAGAACTTTTCGGGACAAGTGTTAATGTGTCACTTATGTTTGCCTCTTCGTGAGGTTATTCTCTCGATATTTTGTACTCTCTTTTATATAGTGGATTTCTCATCTCCGTTATGGACGTAGGTCAATTGACTGAACCACATTAAATATTTGTATCTCTTTTGATATATTTCTCTTCTGTCGTTTGACTTATTGTCGTTCAAGGTTTTCATTACTAGCTTCCGCAACACCTGATTATTTCAATCCTAACATTTATAACCACACAAATGTCATGATTCCACAAAGCTTTTACCCTTAAGCTTTTAAGACCACGAGTTTCAAAAGTCTTTTTTTTCCTTAAACTCCATGCCCAGTCAAATTGTCTCATCCAAATTGATACGGAGGAAGTATGTTTTTATAGGTAATGAAAACATGAGCACCTAATAATATATATTTTTAAGGACAAAGTGTAATGACTCGACCGATCGTTGAGTATTAACATTCAGTTCGGTGGGTTGAGGTCATGAGTAGCTTCATGTGGTGTAATATGACCTGTATTTATCGTCGGTTTTGGTTTTCGAGCAGCTCGAGATTAATTTGGAAGAATTATTCTCATTTTAGAAGCTTTAAGTTGGAAGAATTGACCAAATTTTATTTTAGTGAATTTCACCTCGGATCAGAGTTTTTATGGTTCTGTTGGGTCCGGATGGTGATTTTGAACTTGGGCGTATGTCCAAATTTGAATTTGGATATTTCTAGAAGTTTTTGGCACTATTTGGGGAAAGTTGGCAATTTGAAGATTTGGAAGGTTCATAGGTTTGACTGGAATTTGACTTCGATGTTATTGGGTTCAGATTGTTGTTGGAATATATTAGTTGTGTCATTTGAAACTTGTGTGCAAAAATTGAGGTAATCCCGAGTTGTTTAGGCATGTTCGGCGCAAGTTTGGAATTTGAAAATTTGAAATAGCTTATTAAGCTTGATTTGAGGTGTGAATCATGGTTTTGATGTTGTTATGTGTGATTTAAAGCCCCTAGTAGGTGTGTATTGTATTTTGGGACTTGTTGGCATGTTCAAGAAGGGTTTCAGGGGGCTCGGGTGAGTTCCGGGGTGGTTTCGAACCATTCCTATGAGTTTTGGAAGTTGTTAGTTGCTGGTGTTTCAATAGAGTATTGCGATCGTGGAGCTAGGCCCGCGATCAAGTAGAGGAATTTTGGAGCAGTTGACATTTGTTTATCGCATTCGCAGGAGAGGAATCACGTTTGCGAAGATTGTATGTTGCGTTGGAGAGACTTGTTCTTCGCATTCACATAGGTGGATCGCGATCGCATTTTAGCGAGGGAGCTGGGGATTTTTTGGTAATCGTATTCGCATGGCAGGCGACCCGTTCTCATAGGTATGGCATCAGTGGTCGTCATGTTTGTGGGAAAAGTGTTGCGAACGTGTATTTTGGCAGTGTCCCTCTTAGTGCTTCACGACTGTGAAGTGGGTCCCCCGATCGCGAAGGGTACACTTGAAGCAGCTATATAAAGGTTTATTTTCAGACTTTGAGTTCATTCTAACATAAATTGAGATTTGGAGCTCGGATTTGACCGATATTGCAGAGAATTTTTACCATTTGGATTGGGGCAAGTTTTTTTTACTCAGATTTGATTATTTTACATAATTCTACCTTTAATTTTGGCATTCAATTGATGAATGTAAAAGAGAAAATTTGGGGGGGGGGGGGATTGTCAAAACTTTTCTAAAGTGAATAATTGAGTTTTGACATCGATCCGGAGTCAGATTTCAGTGAAATTAGTATGGTTGGACTCGTAATCGAATGTGTTGTCAGAATTTGTGAGTTTTGTTAGATTTTGGGGTGCGGTCCTGGGTTGATTTTGAATATTTGATTAAAGATTCAACCTTTATCGTTTGGGTTTGATTCCTAAGGCATTATTTGATGATTTTGGATTGCTTTTGGCTAGTTTCGAACCGTTTGGGGGTTGATTCATCCGGAATATCGCTTCTAGTGTATCGATTTAGCATGCTTGAGGTAAGTGTCTTGCCTAACTTTGTTGAGAATTTTTTTTTTACTAAATGTTATTATTTGCTACATGTGGGAGTAATGCATTTATGAGGTGACGAGCGTATATGCATCTGCTAGGGTTTCTATGCTCGGAAGGGGAAAACTATATGTTTTTTTTGTGCCTTGTTGAACTTGGTAATCCCAAATTTATGTTTCGTTTACTTCTATGACTAATAAACTCAATTAACTATGTTAGGAATCATGCTAGAATATAGGACATCTTCAAAAAAGAGTTAATGGTTTGTTTCAAGATGTATTGCATACTTAACTTGATCGTAGTATTACGAACCTATATCTAAATCTGTTATTGTCATGTTACTTAAGATTCTTGTTCCTAATAAAAGATGATGATTGGGCTATAGGGCTATGTTTGGCATGATAGGTATTTCCGTGCGGTTGATATGATATTGGCACGACGAGTATTACCGTGCCGTGTGAAATAAGATTGGCCGGTTGGTTGTTGCCATGTGAGAGAAATGGGAGTTGGAATCTTGTTATGATTACTTGTTCATTAAACACTTACATGCCCTCAACTCTGGTTTCTCTTAATATTTACTATCTTGTAGCTAGGTTATCACTTTCGTGTTCCTTATGTAGTTACCTCTATGTTTCATATTTGGCCTGATAATGTTATACCCATGCTTCTACTTTGTTTTTATTGTTATTCATACGCTTTTACTTGATTTACTTCTGCTACATGTTATCTTCGAATCCACGCCTTTACTGTTATTTACTTGTACACGTTATTTGTCTCTATTTGTTACGTGATTTGCTTATTAGTTGTCTTGACCTATTATATGTCGTAACTTACTACCTGCCTTCATATGTTATATGTCTTTATTTGCTACGCATCTTCACATGTTACATGATTCACTTCTTTAACACCTCTATTTTATACTTGTTTTATTTGATGTACATCCTTTCTCACTTCATGCTCTATACTTTCTTGCTTAGCTAGATTGGGTGACTTTTTGATTGGTTGTGCGTTTATGTTTTGTGGAAGCTTTGATTTTAAAATGTGGGAGATTAGCTCTGGGTGCTATGTTGCTCACCTTACTATGTTTGAGTTTGTATTCCTAGTTGAATTCCGCTTATTAGTTTTCTTGGTGTTACATTATGAACTTTCCCTTGCTTGTTGTTGTGGAATAGTTTCATATGAATCTATATTGATATATGGGATCGAGTTGCACGCCGTAACAGAGAAGATATTATTATGTAGGATTGGGTTGCATGCTGCAACGGATATTAAAATTATTGTGTGGGATCAGGTTGCACGTCGTGTCACAACGGATATTGGTATTATTGTGTGGGATTGGGTTGCGTACCGCAACGAATATTGGTATTGCTGTTTGGGATCGGTTGCACGTCGCAACGGTATTTGTATACATATTTGTGGATCGAGTTGCTCGCCGCAACGGAGACGACATGTTATGATTGTTCTTGATTGTGTTCTATATCTGTGTATAATGATAGGCTATAATTACATATTTTAGTCGCTTATTACACTCTAATGTATTGCACTTTAATTGAGTTTGAACTTTAATCGCTAGTGTTTTGCACTAATCGTGTATTTTATGCCTTGTAGGAGTGATTCCGAGCTATGTAGATATTATTGAATGAATTCAAGTAATTTGGAGTTTTGAAGTCTGAGTAAAAACCCAAGGAATCAAGCTGGGATCATGTTCGGGGATCAACGGATGATAGTCAAGAACGAAACGGAAAATCGAGCGGGCATACAACGCATTGTCTAGTAAAATGCACATAACTTTTCGCTCAAAACTTCTTTTAGGCTCCACAATATATCGTTGGAAAGCTATTTGAAAGGATACAAATTTCGTGTTTTGCATTTTTGCGAATTCCCAATACTGCGGCGCGCGGTGCGGCGCGCCTGTGGAAATTTTCTGCAGCCTGTCAAAATCAGCAATCTTAGCTTTTCCACTGCCGCCCCACATGGCACGTTTCCCCATGTGGCGCAGTAGTGCCAATTTTACAGAGTGGGTGTCCTATTTCGTTCGGGAGAAGGTATTTTCATCTGAGCCCGACCCTATTTGGTATAAATACATGTAAAAATCTAGGTGCTTTATCGAGAGGGTATTCATATGCTATAAAATTCAGTAGAGTTGGTTGCATTCGGGGCCAAGTCAGAGCTGGGTGGCTCTCAATAGCGGTCCGACATACTTTTGACACAGATTTGACCTAAGGAGGCAGATACACAATAGGAGCAAGGCGGAGAATTCTTCTACGAGTTTTTCCTTCCTCTTCCTATTTTTCATTGTTGGTTATGACTCTTAGTATTGTAGTTTTACATACTATTATGAATAGCTAATTTGTTATCTAGGGTTTTGATAGAACCTTTTGTAGGATAAATTCTTGTTATGTTTTTATATAATTAAGCCGTTGGATTTCTCTACTTGTTCAACTACGTATTTACTGTTGTTGATTGAATGGTCATCGATTGACGGTGCCTATTTATTATGTGTTGCTTGAGAAAGGATACATATTTAGGTGGTTGATGAACAACGTCACTCCTAACGTATGTGAGAAATCAATACATCGGGTTTAAGGTTGGTTTAGAAATAACAAAGCCTTGACGTGGCCATAATAAGCGGTTAGATAAAGCCAACTAGCGTAGTTCGAGAGAATATGTCTAGTAAATTGTTGTAGTTGCTCGAGAGAGAATTACGGCACCTAAAGTGCTCACGATCAGTAGAGAATACATTGGCAAAATTGTAGGGAACATAGCTAGAAGGATTCCGACAATTGGGGAAATCATAACTCTAGACCTCCTTAATTTAGTCTCCAACCCTTTGTCTCGTTAGTTGATAATTTTACTGCTTTCTAGTATTTGCTAGTTAATTAGTTAGAAATATAAATCTCAATCTTTATAATTTAGAAAATTGTTTAAACTTGTCTTTTTAGTGATATTAAACAGATATAGCTAAGCCTTAATTCTCTGTGGGATTCGACTCCGGACTTTTAGACCGGATTATATTTGCAGCGACCGCTTATCCTTTTTAGGACTAGAGTTGGGCGTGATCAGTGTAACACTGTGAATTGAGCATATGAAATAATCTGGGGCCCTCTGTCATTTGCGTTTTTGTTTCATTTATTACGTAATTATTTGTGTCTCTTTATCATATTCTCTTTCTGCTTATTATCTGCACAGGTAAAATATTGAGAGAGTATCTTTTGACTTAAAATCTCATCACTACTTCACCGAGGTTACTCAAGATACTTACTGAGTACATGGGGTCGGTTATATTCATACTACACGTCTGCATCTTGCATGCAGATCTTAGAGCTGCATAGCTGTGTAAGACGAAGCCTGCCATTGAAGACGTTCCAATGTTCCAGATTCAAGCTATCTCTTGTTCATGGTAGTTTAGGACTTGAATATTGTTTATGTATACTTCAAACATGTGTTATATTATTTTCGTACTAGCTTTATAAATCTGAGTCTTTGAGGCTCATGGCTTGTACTACTACTCCTTGGGTTATACTGAAATTCAATTATTTCACTTTTTGATTTCATATTAATTTCAGAAATATATTAACTGTTATTTAGCCTACCTAGCGGGTTGGATTAGATGCCATCACGACTAGGCGGATTTTGGATCATGAACACGAAGTTTATTTATGCAGTTATGGAAGTGTTATCAGAATAGAAGTGGATCAAGAGCGGTAGACTAAACTAGATCTATTAAGCTTTGTCATCTGTTAGTAAAACAAAGAAGCGGTTATCGACGAGAAGTTTTACCACAAAAATAAAATTTCTTTTCAAATCAATATAACTTGCTCATGCATGAAAGCATCAAAACACTCAATATTTGCATGATAAATGTAAGTTAGAGTCAAATCATATGTGTCATGTCTAGTAACCATACGTCACATATGGAGTGGCCAAGACCAGCAAATGAAGTTTTCAATGGTAAAAAAGAGTAAACAAAAGCATTCTCCATTTGGGCTTACCTAATTCTCTGGGCGTTCAAGTACTCCTGGCTACTAAAGGAACCATACACAGAAAGTGCAACCCTAGCATCCCATCCTAATTCTTCCTTATTCCTATGCCAATATTCAGAGATCCACGGTGTCAAAACAAATTTATGTATAACTTGAAAGAAGAGTAATAATTCTTAAAAGTGGAAATCAAGTAGTTTCAAATTCCCCTAATGTCTAAGTGTATATATTGTTAAGAGACAAATTAAGTAAAGAACTTACAGCTTTTCTAGTTCACGAGCAATTGAGGTATTGCATTCAGATCCAATTGTCACATAATGTGCCAAGCGCATAACTTCTATCTCAGGTACGGTAACTTCTATAGTCTTTTAAAGAAGAATTAGAAAAAAGAAGATGTTAACATGGTCATGATAGCCTCACGTCGCAAGAATTGGAATGGGAGTGTACTCTATTAAGGACATTTCTTAGTAGCAAAATAAAAAAGAAAATAATTTTCACCCAATATTATATTCGAATTACCTTCCACCCATAACTCTTGTACAATTTTGCTAAAGCTTGAGAACAGCAACTTCTTATGTCATCACTGCAGTCATTAAACCACTAAAAAGAAGAAGAAAATGTTGAAATTAAAAAAAAAAAAAAAAAAAGGAAAGAAAGAAGACAATAAATTACTAGTAATACAAAGGAAGGAAAACTTTTACAAATTAAATTGCAATGCTAATAAAAATAAACAAACCTCCCCATATTTGGCCAATTTGATATTAGGTATAAGCTTTGGTGACTTCAGCAGAGGGAAACATAGTTTTGGCTGGAATAAAAAAATTTAGAAGAAATAAATCAGTTATAAAGAGAAAGAATGAAATGATTGCAAATAAAATCCTTCGTTTTTTCCTTATTTTTTATTAACTTTCTTGGATAGAATTGTGAGAGTACATCATCTTTTTTGTATTACAACTTCGCTAATAAGTTTTACTCCAATGTATTGTGAGAGTACATTTGAGGAGTGTGGGAAGAAGGAAGTCATATGCTAATGTGATGACCCGATTGGTCATTTTCAGTTTTAGTCTTCATATATGTATTTTAAAGCCTCGATTAGCTCTGTTTTAGCCTTTTTCGATTTGCGTGCACAATCCGTGTCTTTTTCGGAAGGGTTTTTGTGAAAAGATTTGATGAAAATGTGCAATCGTGCTTTAAAACTCATTTGAGTTGACTTTAATCAACATTTTGAGCAAACGGATCCGGATCAGTATTTTGACGGTCCGGGCGGGTCCGTATCATAATTTGGGACTTGAACGCATGCTCTGAATCGAATTTGGAAGTCTCTAACTTGATTTAACGTAATTTGTTGAAAACCAGAAGTTTAAAGGTATAAAGAAGTCCTAAGTTTTACTGTAGGTTAACTTTGATCGCGCGAGTTCGTTCGTATGATGTTATTACACTTGTGTGTATGTTTAGTTTGGATCCCGCAGGGCTGAGATGAGTTTCAGATAGGCTATAGAGTGGTTTTTGACTTAGCGAAATACCCGACGCTTCTTTGCTTCAGGTGTTACTTGCAGATCTCGCTTTTGCGAGGTCTGGCTCGCAAATGTGAGCCTCGCTTTTACGAACAATGAGTCACATTTGCGCGCATGAGATGGGTTGGGAAAAGTTCTCATTTGCGAGAAATTCTTTGCATTTGCGGACTCTGTATCTTCGCAATTGCGAAGGTTTTGGTCGCAATTGCGGCCAGAGACTAATTTGGTGCTGCTTCGCTTTTGCGAAGTATTATTCGCATTTGCAGACAATCTTAGTTCACATTTGCGATGATAACAGGCTTGGTGACTTTTTTGTATTTGCAGGGGGTTGATCGCTTTTGCGATCATCGCAATTGCTAACTATGTGCCGCAATTGCGATAACTGCAGCTGGGTAAAAGAGGGGAAAAGGGGAATTAGCTCATTTCTTTCAAACTCTCAACCCTAAACACCTTAGAGGCGATTCTTTCAAGAGATTTTCTTCCTAAATACATTAGTAAATGACTTTAATCTACTTCTTTTAAATTACCCATTACATTTTATAAGTTTTCAACATCAAATCTAGGATTTTCATGGTATAAATTAGGGATTTTTGGTAGAATTAGGGATTTTGCAAAATTGGGAATTTGACCTCGAATTGAGGTCGAATTTTGAAATAAATTACATAACCGGTCTCGGGGGTGAATGGGTAGTCAGATTTTGGTCCGAATCTCGAGTTTTGACCAAGCGGACCCGGGGTTGACTTTTGTTGACTTTTTCAATAATGATCTAAATTGAACCTCTTTCATTCGTGGGTAGTTTTTAAGGCTTATTTCGAATTATTTGGTTAATAATTTGCTGTATTTGGTTGGTTTAGAGGCTTGTTCGAAAGGCAAGGCCATGGTTGAACTTTGAGTTGATTGCGGAGTGAGGTAAATGTTGGGTTTAACCTTGATTTGCGGAAATTAGGAACCCTTGAGCTATGTGCTATGTGAATTTCATGTATAGTGGCATATATGCGAGGTGACGAGTGTATATACGTCATCAAATTCCTTGTTTCCATGCTTTCGCATATTTCGTTAATTACTTTATTCCATGACTTAACCGTTACATTACATGTTTTCCCTATCTTCATCGCTTCATAGTATGTCTTGTTTCATGCCCTAATTGCTACATGCTTATTTGACTTCCATGCCATAATTACTTGCCATTTAGCATTTCTTGTATTAAATTGTCTATCCCCTCCCTGATTCTATACTTATTTACTACTTGTCTCTATTTGTTTCCCTCATATATCCAAATTGTCTTATGCCTTATTGCCTTAAAGTTTTGTATTAATTGTTACCTTCATTGAAGTAGTTTCACTTGTATGCATTGTTAAAAGTAGATACCGTTGAGTTGGTAAAGTTGAGACATCTGAGTAGTTCGAGTCTCTTTGATTATCATGTTGCTCTCTATTGCTCGTACATTTGTTCTCTTGATGTATGATTTCTTGTAAATCTTAGTTATTGAGTTACTATTGTTAATTGACGTTATTTGGGGAGTGGGTTGCACGACACAACAGAAATTGAAAGCCAATGAGTTGACATGTTAGAATAAGGATGGACTATGATATTGACAGATGATTACATTGTGGGGTCGGGTTGCGCACCGCAACAGATAGTTTAAAGTTGATATTGTGGGATCGGGTTGCACGCCGCAACATATTGATAAAAGTAATATTTGTTTGTGACTGTTGGATTGGCCTCGGTTGTTGAGATGAGTTATATGACTGATTATTCGGGACTTTTTGCTGGTTGAATTGAGTTTCGTTTATATGAGTTATATGCTTTACTTCTATTCCTATATTTTCTGTTATTATTACTATTATTGCGTACAGGTTAATATAAGTGACCCGCCTTAGCCTCGTCACTACTTCGTCGAGGTTAGACTCGATACTTACAGAGTACATGAGGTCGGTTGTACTCATACTACACTCTGCATTGCTTGTGCAGATACTGGAGTTGGTCCTAGTGACGTACCATATAGACTTGCTCGGACCCAGATATCCAGAGAAGACTTGAGGTATGGCTGCACGGCGTCCGCAGACTTGGAGTCCCCTTCTTTTTCCTTTAGTTGTTCATTTGATTTAGACAGTTATGTTCATTTCAGACCATTATTTGTAGTATCTTAGACACTCATGTATTTGTGACACTAGATCTGGGGTTTGTATTTGGATTTCATCACTTATTAGTTTATTTAACTTGTTTCAGACAATTTAGTTTCTTTATTGTCATCGTATCTGAAGTTTGTTAAAAATGGATAATAACGATATTTAACGTTGTCTTACCTAGCAAGTAAAATGTTAGGCACCATCACGGTTCCGAGGTGGGGATTCCGGATCGTAACAACTAAGTTCTCCAAGTGTGAGTATTGGTTGGGCTCTGTGGCATTTTTGGGTCATATGGTATCTAGTAAGGGGATCAAGGTGGATCCAAAGAATATTGAGGCAGTGCAGAGTTGGCCCAGATCTTCTACCGCTATAGAGATCAGGAGCTTTTTGAGTTTAGCAAGTTATTGTCATCGCTTCATAAAGGGCTTTTTAATAGATCATGAGCTTCAGAAGGGCTCTCCGTTTAGGTGGTCGGACGAATGTGAAGAGAGCTTTCAGAAGCTCAAGACTGCTTTGACTACGGCTTCAATTTTGGTTTTCCTTTAGGATCAGGGTCGTATATGATTTATTTTGATGCTTCGAGGATTTGCATTGGGTGTGTGTTGATGCATGACAGTATGGTGATTACCTACGCATCACGCCAGTTGAATCCATATGAGAAAAAATATGCGGTGCATGATTTGGAGTTAGTAGCTATTGTACACGCGCTCTAGAGGATTTGCATTAGAGATATTACTTATACGGCGTGTCTTGTGAGGTGTATACAAATCAACAGAGTCGCCAACATTTGTTTAAATATAAATATTTGAATATTAGGCAGCGGAGATGGTTGGACCTGTTGAAGGATTAAGATATAACCATTCTTTATCATTTGGAGAAGGCTAATGTTGTAGCAGATACCTTGAGTAGAAAGGCGAAGAGCATAGGGAGTTTGGCATTTATTCCAGATGTGGAGAGACCGTTAGCTATAGATGTTCAGGCTTTGGCCAACAAATTGTGAGGTTTGATATTTTAGAGTCTAGCAGGGTTCTTGCTTGTGTTGTATCATGGTCGTCTCTGTTTGAGTTGTAACGACCCGGCCGATCATTTAATGAATTTCAGCCTCGTTTCCCCAATTTCTGCCCCTTTATGCCTTGTTCAGCTGTATTATGTGGTATCGGGTTGGTTGGTTCGGGTTCAGAGTGGTTTTGGAGAGGTATGAGACACTTAGTCTCTTTTGAGTAAACTTAAGTTGGAAAAGTCAACCGGATGTTGACTTATGTGTAAAATGTCTCGGATGTGAATTCTGATGGTTCGGATAGCTCCGTTAGGTGATTTTGGACTTTGGAGCGTGTTTGAAATGTGGTTTGGAGGTCCGTGGTAGAATTAGGCTTGAATTGGTGAAATTAGAATTTTAGCTGGCAGTGAAAATTTTGATATCGAGGTTAGAATGGAATTCCAAAAATTATAGTAGGTCCATTGTGTCATTTGTGACGTGTATGCAAAATTGCAGGTCATTCGGATGAGGTTTGATAGGTTTTTGGATCGATGGCAAAATTCAGAAGTTTTAGAATCCTTAGGCTTGAATCCGAGGATGATTTGAGGTTTTGATTTGAGTATTCCGAAGATTGGAATAAGTTTGAATGATGATATGTGACTTGTTGGCGTGTTTGGTTGAGGTCCCGAGGGCCTCGGGTTGATTTCAGGAGGTTGGTGGATCAAGGATTTGATTTGAGGAAGTGCTAAAGAATTTTCTTCAGCTGTCATAACCGCACATACGGAGTGAGAACCACAGGTGCGACGTCCGCAGGAGTGAGTAAGCAGCCACAAATGCGGCCACAAGTGAAAAGGGCAGGAGTCGCAGGTTCGGAAGAAGGAACGCACCTGCATGACCGCAGGTGCGGGTAGGGTGTCGCAGATGTGGTTAAGGGAGATTAAGTGAAAACCGCAGAAGCGGTTGGCTGGAGCGCAGAAGCGGTCCCGCAGGTGCGGGAAATGGACCGCAGGTGCGAAAATCGTTGGGCAGAAGCTATATAAACCTCACTTCGCGAATTTCAGTCTTTTATCCACCATTTTTGGCCGAGTTGGAGCTTGGAGAATTCAATTTCAAGGAGGAATTTAAGTGTTTTCAATAAGGTAAGCTACTTGGACCTTGTATCTTATGTTTGTGGCAATTATTCCATGGT